GCTCCATATGTAAAAGAGACATCAGAATAACACAGCAAAGGTCTGACGGGGACAATGGCCAACCCCCCACTCAGCCAAAGCCCCCAAGTGCACAACAACCACGAGACACAAATCAATAAGAAAACATCCGTGTGCACTTCCTCGTTGCCATTCCTGCTCAGTCAGATTTACTGAAGCACCGGTTAGTATTTAATATAATGAGACCATAGTTTACTACTTCAAAAGTAGATGACACTAAATACCTGAGTCATGAGTGAGCCTAATCCAAATCCCTATAGCGATGCAGGACTACCCCACACTGAGAGGGTCCAGTGGGAAGAGTAACAGCAACAAAGGCACTGCATGAGCCATTACAATGCTTCACAATTGATTGTTAGTTGTGACTGTATCTGATGGTGAGGTCTCAAAGGTCTTTTTAGTCCATCACACTGCTGCAGCATATAAAAAGCAGTGACCGAAACACTGCTGGGTGTAGTGTGACACACGTCTGGTCCACTGCGGGCATTTGTTATGAGCTCTCATGTGTCAGAATCGGAGCTCTCCACCTACAGCACATATATGTCATGCAGCAGCTATAGGCAAAGTGAATTCCAAACACCAAACAATTACAATATCGTGACACAAGCAGGTCAACAACAGAGCTTATGAAATATTTCTGCGTGGGTGAAAAGTGAAGGCGAACCTTTCACTTTTGACATGTTTTGGGGGATTTCCATTGTAAGATTACGAGAAGTGCTCAACACAATGACTGATATTGAAATAGAAAATACGGATGTAGCCCAGACTTGCGCAATGGGTTCTCTAATTACCCCGTGGTGGATAATAACCTTATTCCGCAGGATGATTGTAGCTTGTTATAAGTACACGTGCTTTTGTCCCGCGCTGAGCGTTTACTTCCCTTTCCCCCTGTCTGTCAAGTCAGAATAAGCCCGGTGCGTTTTCTTACAGGACTTAAGCAAACTTGCACGGTAAAAGCCACAACACATCGCGGAAGCTTGGCTCTCTTCTCATTCACATCGCACTCATTCACTCTCTCCGTGGTGACTTACCAGTGCGCACCAGGCAGGCGACGGTGAGGATGGTGAGGGGGACGCAGTAGTTCCAAACGGACGCGAAAGCCATGGCTGTCGCTGATATTCCCCTCTGATCTGTTCCTCGTTATTCCTCTTCCTTGGAGAAATCAGAGTGACATGAACCCGCAGGTCCACTCTCCAACGGCTCCTTCAGCGTCTGTGTGTGTGAGTGCGTAATGTGCGTGGACGAGTGTGTGTGTTCAGTGAAGCGCTCAATGGCAGGTCTTTACATTGTAATGCTCCCTCCCCACACACACCTATATTCTCCCTCCCTCTTGGAATGACTGGATATGATGGCTTGGCTGGTTTTTCTTGGTTACTTTACATTGTAAATATATTTAAAAGTCTTCCAATGGGGCGGGCCGGTGTGCGTTTCCGACCAATCGCAGAGAGCCGGAGCAGGTGGAGGGGTGTGCGGAGGATAGATAGGGGCTGGGCTTGCTGGAATACATCGGCTATACACGAGGAGAGCAGGGGGGGGGGGGGGGAATCTTCCAATTAATATAAATCCATTCGCTCTAAACGTGATTGATAACCAACATTAATTTCCCGGCACAAATAACCAATGTATTTCAAATTCAGCTCCACGGACCGAGAAAGGATGTGTGGCACAATGATTAAGATGACGAAAATGAATCAGATGTTAGTCGTTTGAAGAGACAATAATGCAGTCATTAAGTGTATTCTGAAGTCAATTTCCAAAATATCATGTAAATAAATCAGCATATATTTGTGTGTGCTTATCTGAATGTCAGTCATCATGCGTAATGCAATGTGGATTCACTTTTCCACATGTTGGCTGGTGGCAAACAATAACTTTCTGAAATATTATACTTTTTTATTAATGATTATTTGCTGATCAAAACTGGAGGAAAGGTTATATGTTGACTCACTGCCAAATCAGAATATGCAGCAGTCTTTAAGATTAGGGGACATTAAGGTGCAGAAGAGGCTCTGTCTCCAAAGAGTGCCCGGGAATCATCAAGGAGCAGGAAACAGACCTGAGTGTATTCCGTTAAATCGCCCTTCACGATGGACAGTAATGACCCGCAACATAAACTTGTGCTCTGGACGAACCTTTCCTTTCTGCTCATCTAAAGTCAGGGCTTATTAGGTCCCACGGAAGCTCTTTAACTTTACCCATGCTGTGGCCACAGTTTCCCCATAATTGTGTTTTCCAGTCAGAGGCTGCTTCTCTATTATGAAAATTGTTTCTCATTCCGCATCTCTTTTTTCTCTCTTCCTAATCTACTGCTATACCATGGGTTTGTAGCCTGCGAGGCATGAAGGGAACTTTTATCTTTTTTCCAACCATCTTTGGCGCCGCCTTCAGGTAAGATTATGAATATCACGTCATGGGTCTCAAATCTGTTTAGGGCTCTCTCTCATCTGACACGAATCCTGACACTTTTGGTTCAACATTCAGACAGGCAGTTATGTATCAAAGCAGTCTATTAAGAATTAATATTAATGTTTCCAACCTTGACTAAAGTTGCTTTGAACTCTTGCCTCACATCTGACCTCTTTTCCATGGATGTGTGTGAAATCTTTATGTCTCAGCTTCAGGCTCTCTACATGTCATGATTTATTTTAAGTTATAACCTTGTTTTGGGGTCAATAGTATCTGGTTAACTCATTCCCTAAATCCCAACCCATTTCTCCCTGTCAGGCTCTCTGCGAGTGTTTGTTCCCCGGTTGGCAGGGTGTCTGTGGCAGCGGCTCCCCTGCACCAGATGGGGCATTGTCAGAAAGTAATGAGGGGAAAACACTTGCTTTTCCAGCTAACTCCACTCCTTCATTTCCAGCCATTTGACACAACATATGCAGGTTGCACATACAAAACCAAGTGACCGTGACCAGAACAGCACTGGGCGATGGCATTCTGTTAGAAATGCCTGGCACTTTGTTGCATTAGTCAATGAACTGTCATGTTTGGTATAATTCACCTATACTTGTAGGTCGGCGTACTGGGGGCTGTCAGCCAGGCCCACCTGAATAACTGTCACCACTGAGGAGCTGCCACTATAGTTGTCACATATTTGCATCCCTGTCATGTAAGGGCCCTTCCTGCCCCAGACACAACATGTCTGCTGCTATGTATTCTCTTCACAGCTCACGCTTTGCCCTAAGCTGTTGTCCGTCGGTTTATCCATGAGGCACTATCAAGGTCAAAATGTCTCTGTAAACTACACTTCTCTCCCTCCCAACCAGAGCCTTATACCTCAGGGACATCTCCGCTGCGTGAAATCCCTGATACATAATTTTGTCTTTTCTGGCCAACCGGTTGAAGCCCTAGGACCAAAGCCCATGGGGAGCACCCGGCTTTTCACTCATGATTGACTCAACGGCCAAAACAAGAGGATGCTCGCTGGCATTCCACAAGCAGGCATTTTAAATTTACAACATTGTGTTTTTTCCAGCAGAGCGTGGAAGTTTTTTGTTTTTAAAGTCACCCCATCTGTTGTCTCTTTATTCCTGGTCTTGGCTTAATACATAAAGTGAGCAGAAGTTTGTAGAGAAATACCAGGAGTCTGTAAAATGCTCGACAAAGAATGTCTGCAGCAGAGAGGAGCTGTACAGGGGGCTTTGAATAATCAGTTTAATAACATTATCCTGGCTGTGTGCTCCGTGGCGCATGCAACCGTTAATGGAGTGTCATTGTTAAACTGCTGGTTCGACCATTATTAACGACGGCCCACGGTCAACCACACACCGATAATAAAATCACATAAAACCCAACATAACTTCAACAGACAAGCGTAATGAAATTCTCTGCACGGTTACTGAAATAAGCGATGGTGCCGTGGCATCGCGTTGGGGTTATAAAGCAACAGAGGAGAAAATTAAAAAGATGAAGTTGTAGACTATGATGGTTAATTTGGGGAAATCAGATTAGACTAAATCTAGTTCTTATTAAAGGGAATATTACCTAGAAGTTTAATACCAACTTTAAAGAGAAATCACAGATTCATTCTAACGCATATTGTCAATCTTCAGCTCTTAAGCCCCCCAAGTGTACCTTGCAGAGGCCAAAGTTTGATTAGATTCTGAGGTACCAAATAATGGAAGGTTTTGTCCCACCTGACTTAAAGCTATTCCTCTATAAAATGTCACATAAAACTCCTAATAGACTATTTATCTGCTGTTTTGTAACTGCTTGTCCAGATGTATTTGACATGTATCTCGGTTTCAATCCATTTTTGTTTTGTTCACAATGACATTTAACATAACTATTGCTCAGCAGTCAATGCAGGTGTATAATCCAATATCCCTCCCACAAACACAAGCACACACTCACACAGAGATACACACACACTTTTCACAATTACATTCTTCTTTTTTTCAACGTTTAATTTGTTTTCTTTTATGAGTTGTTATATTAGTATGCCATCACTATTGAATTCATATTTTTTTATAATAATATCTTGTTCTTTATAATATTGGGATTTGTGGAGGCTTCACATAAGCAGAATGTGTTTTCTGCCTCTTTCTGCATTGTATATTATTTGTTTTCTGTTAGGTTTGTGTAGTTTTCAAATGGTTGAACATTGGCTCACCAGGCAGACTCTTATAATACGATGGGCAGAGATTCATGGTTACCTGACGTAACTATTATTCTCACTGTTAGTGTGGGCTTTTTGGTTCATCTTGTGAGCTGAACTGAATGGCTCTGTGCCTGCAGGCATTTGGGGAGACACACAAGCATGGACAGGCACGATACTTTGAACAAAGGTCAACGCTTCAGAGTAAGGTCTTGCGGACTGAAAGGGAAGGTTGGTAAACAAGCTGATGCAAGAAGATGGCATTGGATGGAGAAGATGTGCGCCTGGACGAGCATGCATGCAGCTTTCACCGAACTCAATACCCCCTACCTCTTTTGTATCTTCAAAAAGGAACACAATCAATTGCACACAGAAGGGCAGCAAATAATATTTTCTGAAAGCCATTTAATATCAAAGAAATCCAAAGTGCAGTACATTAAATAGTAGAGTGCGGTGTGCTTGAGGGCTGTCACGGAAAATGGATTAGAATAACGTTCTCACAGATGCTTTGAGCTGGTTCTGCTTTGGAAAAACAGGTTGAAAAGGAAACAAATCAACAACAAAAACAACCTTCTCCCATCACCCAAATTACTCATTCACAGCTGAGCAATTATGTTTAGAAAAGAAAAGTGGAGAATTGCATGTGGAGTCTAAACCATTGCTTAGTACACAAGATTAATCTCCTATCGTTTTACTGAGAATGTAGCTCACCATTTTCCATGCTACAGAATAAATGAAAGGAAAATTGCCCACCATTCAGTTCAAGATGCATAACTGCTGCCTACACACACAAGCAAAGCAGCTTCTAAAGCAATAATTTCCCTTTTTTCACACCCAGCTTCGCTCTCCCTTCCCTACAGATTTTGAATATCCCTCTTTGCTTCACTTCTCTCCTCCCCCAATGTGACCATCCAGAGTCCTACACTATTTCCTCGCTCTTAAAATATTCCCTCAATCCCATCCCTCATTCTCCGGCAACTCACTCCATCTTCCTCCTCCCTCCTCATCCTTCCACCTGCCTGTGCAGTCAAACCAGAGGTTGTTTGTCTGCACAGGTGGAGGTCAGGGACTCCACACTAGTTTTGTAGATGGGTTTCTTCTGAGACCGGTCATCACTGGCAAGAGAAAGAAAGACAGAGGAGCGTTATTATCAGTATATCGACCTCCCAGTAGGCACTAGAAAATCATAAGTGAGGAAATTATAGACTAGAAGCGAGCGATGGGGCCACATCATGGCTGTTGATGTGAAAGTCAATTTTTCTGTCTTTGGTTCTCTGTCTCTTTCTAACAACCATGCTTTTATACACATGGCGGCTCACGCCTAGCCCCACTTTCAAGGATTCAACTTCTCTTATGTGGCACTACAAAGACGCAGAAATCATGTATGAAGCAGGCTCTTATGGAAATTATGCCATTTGAAAGGAATTCTATTTTATTCAGCCCATATGGAAATAAGCTAATGAGCAATACTGCATTGGGTCATGGTGCACATTAACATACTGTCAGCTATGGGTGTAATAGGACTCCTGCTACAGTTTTAGTCATTGCCGACACCTTCATATATACTTGAAATACTATCACAGAATGAAAAGCTGGTCTTATTAGCTTTTCACAGAGAGAAAGTGGATGGAAACCCACAGGAGATCAAGAAGCGTAAAAGGGATCAAGGACAGGGTCAAGTAGGTCACACCTGCCGAGATAGACTTTAATATTCAATATGGATAACACCTTTTAAAAACACATAAAAGCACACAGGCACTAGACGGCATATTTGTGGGAAGGTTCACACTTGGAAACACACGCACACACACACAATGTGAAGTAAACACTAAAATGCATGCGTGCCAAAAACACACACTCCGTAACTGAAATGGCCTTGGTTCTATCCGATGAGACAGAATGAAATATTGCGGCAATAACCATATCCGTAATATAAAGTCAAACTGCGGGAGGAGAGACTGGGGCTGAGTTAGGGAAAATAGGAAGGTGAGTGTGGATAAAGTGCAGTAAAGGAATCAGACAATCACACTGGCCCACACACACACACACACACACACACACACACACACACACACACACATTATCCATCAGATTCTGAATATGGCCAACCTCAGCAGTTGGCTGGCAATGAAGGGACGTCGGCCTGATTAAGCTCGTCTGTCTCTCAGCCTGAAAAATTCCCCATTGCGTTAACGCTTTTTCTGACATTGTGTGTTCCAACATCCGGACTACCAAACTATTTAGTATGTCAGGAAAAGATTAAGTACGTTCAAATAAATAGTATGTCGAATGCAGTATGCCATACTGGAATGTCCGACATACAGCATGCAACTGTATATTGTTCGGGCAGCTGCAGTTAACTGAAAGTCAAAATAAACAAGGTCATTATGACTCTACCTTCCTACCGCTGGTATCCACCCTTTCATTGTATTTGGTTTTGCACCTTCAACACCCAGCGCGCTTTCATGCTGCTCTACACACTCCATTGTCCATTTGAGTAATGCATAATAAATGATGTTTGTTTTAAGAATAACCTAGGGCGGACTCCCTCATTGTGACTTTCCCTGAGCCAGATTGTGACATTAGGAAAGAGGAACCGAGACACACACACACACACACACACACACACACACACACACACACACACACACACACACACACACACACACACACACACACACACACACACACACACACACACACACACACACACACACACACACACACACACACACACACACACACACACACACACACACACACACACACACACACACACACACACACACACACACACTGGTTTCTTACATTGGTCCCTTGCTGGTCTTGGCCTGCTTGGCCCTGCGGCACAGGAACACGCTCATGGAGAGCAGGAACACCAAGAGAGCGGCAGCCGCTGCAGAGATCATCAAGATGAGCTGCCCATCACTAGACTCATACCAGCGGGCATCCTCTGTGGGACAGATCAGTCAGACATGAAGGAAAACATGCATCACACAGACTCTGAAATCAGCAACTACAAGCTTCCTTCCTCCAGGCGCAGCCTCTGAAGACAAACTCCTGTTTGTTTGTTTGTTTGTGGAAGAAAAGAGTTAAGACGGCCTTGCTGCTGTACAAAGCACTGACCTTTAACAAGTCTGCTTCTCAAAATGTAAAACAATATTGTCTGGTTATGCCCTTTCTGTGCTTACATTCACAAATTATACAAAACATGTGTGGACCTTGTGTTCTAAAACCCCTTCTTTAGAGCACAGGACTAAGTCCACATTGTAGAATTATGGCTATTAGGATTTGAGGCAGCAAACACATGCTTTGCTTTTTCACATATACAGCCATTCCATATGTTAAGAGGATTTCCTGGCAACAGGAATGTTTGCTTTGGTTTGAACAGCTATTGTAGTACAACTTCAAAGAAACGACATGCAATATTTGCATAAGCAAACATTATTCCAGCATATAGAAATGATTAGCTTTTTAATTACTATATGTGCTTCAGAGGAAACACTGGAGACGCAATGTAGCGCAGTGACTGATGAGTCAATTGCAGAAGTAATAAGATAGCTCTACTCTAGGAAAAAAAACATGTATTGGCGTAATTGCTTTTTTAGAGGTTGCATAATTTCAACAATTGAAATCACAAGGCTTATGAATCCTAGTGGGCGGCAGAACAGGGTGTAAAAAAAAGCAGTGCATTAACACAGTGCAGTCATCTCACAGGTCACTGATACAGATGATGAAGACAGATGAAGGGCCATAAATTGGATTAGCAATAATGTTGTAATGAAATTAGCTCTCCACTTGAATGCAATATTCCTGTTAGATGATAATTATGCTTGTCAGTCATGCAGATTCACACAAAGAAAACTTCATAGACATCCAGCTTCCAACGCTCACAGACAGCAGGACTTCTTAATAAAAGTCTCATTTTATTTTCATGGATTATAATGTACTGTATACTTCGTGATGACCATCTATGTCTCAGAAAACTCATACATAATAATAATACAGCAGCCTATTGTATGCTCTCAAATGTCATTTCCAAATGGCATAAGTATTTTTAACTAAACACTTCTCTCTGCCATGTACCCACTTCTGTTTCAAAAGCTTCAAAAGAAAAATAAATGAAAAGGTCAGGTCAAGTAATTGCTTCCTTTTATTTACTAATCATCCCCCTGTCCTCTGAAGTATTTATATATTTTTAAATGTACTGATGTTCTCTGCAATCATCGTACCTATTTTTCATTTTAGAGGAGATTTCCTTTCTTTGTCACCTTTTTTCTGTGAGGAGTTTTCATTAAATGCCTTCCCCTGTCTTTATCACAGCATCAGACGTCTTGTTCTGTGTTACTATCATTTATGTGTGCAGATAAATTAAACCTCATTCCTGCATTACGTCTTCCGCAATAAGGCTTTCACACTTCTGCATTTGTTCTGGATGACGTGAATGCACTCAGACACCTTAACTCAGGTCACATTCAAGTGGCTGATTGAAAATAAACAAGAACACAATGTTTTATTTTGTTTGTGCTATGAGGATGTAGACAGTTGAATTTCCAGAGAGTTACAAAGAAAGCCTAAATAGGTTTTTACAAAGAGGAAGCAGAAACGACCGCTCAAGTCTACAACAGTCAGTATAGAGGACAACAGGATTTAGAGTGTTATCTCACCAGGAAGCACGGCGATGCTGATGGTGCGTTTCTTGCTGAGTGTCTCCACAGAGGGATGCTCGGCTACGCAGGTGTACTGCCCTTCATCGGCCGCTGTCATCTTCCTCAGCGTCAGCGTGGAGGATGGCAGGATCCAGTCGTCACCCTGAGAGAAAGATGGAGACATACAAGAGAGCGTGAGGAGAGTGAAACAAACAGAAAGGAGGTCAGGAAGTAGAAGAAGAAAAATTGGCTGGATTTTTTGCAGCCCTGCGGGAATCAACACACTCGTGGAAAATGTAAATTGTGCTGAGCTGAAAGCGCAAGAAGATTTGAGAATAAATTAAGGTTGTTGGCTAAGAGACAGAAAGAAAACGAGAAGCTGTCAGTCATGAGGGAGAGAGTAAGAGAAAGAAAAGGGGAATAAAGTGTTATTTTTGACTGATTTTCTATATGAGTAAAAAGAAGGGCGAAAAAGAGAACAACATAAAATAGGAAAGGGAGAAACAGAAAGATTTAAATGGCAGTGGGGTAAAGAGAGAAAGCAAGACATACATGCAGTAGCACTGCCCTCAGAGAACAGTCCCCAAAGTCCCAAATGAAGAGCATTTACCTGAGCAGTAATCCAAATGGATGAACACACGTCGACACAAGTCAATAACCCAGATAACACCATCATTGGCAAAGAATAATGCCGCAACCACAGACTGTTAACGCAACACGTAATGAGATGGCGAGGGAGCGGGACGAATTGTTGACACAAAAATAGCAGCACTATTATGAGATAGAGCCCGACATGGGAGGAAACAGATAATAGGCCAAACACAAGGATTGGAAAACAAGCGTACATGGAGGATGAGGTAAAAAAAAAAAAAGACATTACACCATGCAAATGATTTGGCTCCTGGGAGCTGCAGCTGCTGCCAAGAAAGTGCATTTCAATTTGAATGGATCTGAATTAAGAGGATTTCCCATAAAGGCCAGGTCTGGCCAAAGCAGCATTTTGTATGCAAATCCACTGGCTGCCTAAGCAGTGGCCCGTTTCTGCCTCTGTCCTGCTGTCATTACCAATGCCAATGTGCCCACACCAAGGAAGCTGTCTGTCAAAGTAGGCCATCCGGATGCCACTTTCTTCCCCATATCTATTCCTGTCATACGCACAGTAAATAGACACAACAAATGTAATCTCATGTTATCATCTCCTTGCGTCACACCTCTCTACCAAACCTCTTCTGAAATTATTTACGAATAATTTGACAGGTGAATCATTAACGACCGGCCTGCCAGTAATGCATATGTGACAGAGCTGTATCTTTAACAAATAAGGAACCAAAACCCTGAAGCACTGCATATGATCGAAGGACACACAGTATTAGCAGTATAACATATCCACTGAATTGGATTTGGACTTGTAAGCCCATTTAAAACCTGGATTTACAGTGACCCTTTAACAAGCATATTAACCTTGAGCCGACTTATCAAAAATAATAACAAAAGGGAAAACTTGGCAACTTGTCTGCCTGATCCCGAGATATCTTCACGGTTGCGTAGCTTCATTACTTCCCTGACTTGCTGCTGGCAGCTGTTGTTATGTTGATGACACCTTGAAAAAGCAATACCATTTTCTCACCACAAGGGCACGGTGTATCTCCCGGCTCATCATTATTATTATTATTACATGTTACTTGTTAGACGCTTTTATCCAAAGCGACTTACATACATTCAGTACTGTGGACAATCCCCACAGGAGCAATTTGGGGTGAAGTGTCTTGCCCAGGGGCACAACGACATGCTGACTGCAGTGGGGTTTGAACCTGTGACCCCTGATCCCAACACCAAGGCTCTATCCACTGCGCCACAAGCTTCATCAACTTATTCTTCGTCTATATGCCTATTGTCACTTTGGCATTTTACACGGAGACGTGTTAATTTCCCTCGGGCAAGAGTTCCTTAGCTTAGTGAAGAGCCCAGTTGAATAATTCAATACTGGTTAACCAAACACAAAAAATAAATCATTAGAAATCTATCTGCATAATTGTTTTCAGGTTGACTGGCTCTTGTCTAGACCTCATTAAACTATTAATCCTCTGTAAGTGGGCAAGCTGCAATCCCCAGCGAGTGGTGGGCCTAAGCCAACCGGTCACTTAAATACAGGGCACTTCTTGTGAGGAGTAAACTGTAAAACTGTAAAGTCCACTGAGACAAATGTAACATTTGTGATATTGGGCTATATAAATAAACATTGATTGATTGATTGAGGAGGGGATGGGACGGCGACAGCCGAGGAGAAACTAGTGGCCTGACAAACTCACGGAGAGAAACCGTGTTGGAGGAGGAGAGAGTGCTGTGAGGGAAGCCAAGAGAGAAATAGGGGCCCAGAAAGACTGGAACAAGACAGCAAAGAAAATAAAGAGGTTACATCGGAAAGTGGAGGGAGGGAGCCAGAGAGAGCATGAAAAGTTTCCAAAGGCATAATGAGGACACTGGAGGAAAATTGAGTCTTTCTCACGTCTTTACTCCAGTAGTAGGTGGGTTCCTCTGATGATCCGGCTGAGCACTTCAACACCACTTCGTCCCCGAGTCGCACCTTCAGCTCCGTAGAGACCCCCAGATAGCTGGTGAACCCGGCCCTTGTCAGTAACAGCTCTCCCATATCTAAAACCAGCGGGAAATGAGGGGGAACGATCACGCATTAATGAAGCAAGACATTTTCTGTTCGCTGAGGCTTCAAGAGTTCGAGACGTGACTGAATACACGTTTTCAGTGGCAGCAGATCTTTTAAGAATAAAGAAATATGAATGCCTCCAGTGGTACACACTGTCCCAAGCAATCAATAACAATGATAATAGGCTTCATCTTATCGAAGTCTTTAGAGGGGCAGTGTTGTGAATAATGGCTCATCTTCTATCTCAATAGATGACCCACGTTCCTCCAGCTCATGGCTTCTCTCCCTCTCCGCCCTCTTTCAGTCCTTTAGTCCGTTCTAATCTTTGCCTCTTATTGATTCCCCCCATGAGGCTGAGGAGCCGATCAAACAGCATTACGGTCGATTTGATGGCCACTGAGAAGATAGAGGACACTGATAATGTGACTAGCTACGCCATTTCATGCAACTGTGTATCCTGCATTGATAGCTTCAAACTTGAGTCCCACTGGGAGAATGCTTTCTTTGTTTGCTTGGAGTGCAGAGAGAAAGAAAAAATGAAATGACTGTACTCAACATGTCATGGCAACACGGCGCGTGAACTACTTACAGTTGTTTTGTTGTACACCCTCTGCAGCTGCATTGCACAGATATGTCTTGTCTTATTAACTATTAATGTGTTTTTCTATCCCTCACTGTGAAGAAAGCTAAGTCCAGACTGTCTGAAAGATTGTCTTTACCTCCTGCTGGTTGGAAATATGAACAAACAAATGTGAAGATTTCCGAGTCTCTCTGTTCTGTCTTCTCGTCTGGATTGTTTCCCAATGTACAATCAGGTGTTTTTTATGCGTCCTTATTGGTCAGTAGTCACACATTTCCTTAACGGGAAGAGAAACTCAGTATCTTATTTGCAAGTCAAATGTTCACCTTATTGTCAGATTCCTGCTTGAATCTCTTGCAGGACAAAGACAGTATGAAAGATCTAGAGTGTTCTGTATGTATCAAAAGGAGTCATTGTTTCACATGAGTTACAGCAGACAGCTCCTACTCATATCAACCTGCACACTCACAATACACTTTGAAGGTCAGCGTCTCGGAGGATCGCTCCTGCTCAGTCACATTTTCGGTGTTGGACACACAGCGGTAGGAGCCTTCATTGAACCTCCCTGGGTGGGGGAGGGTCAGGGTGAGGCGGTCAGACTGCACGACTGGCTTCGGATTGTAGCACCAAAAGCGCTCACGAACTGGAAGCCACTTCTGCATGTACTGTTAGGGGAAAGACAAAATGTGTTATGTTCAATTCTCACATTTGTTGAACTACACAGCAGCCAGTTGCACCATTTACATAAAGCAGTAGATAGTCCATATATTGGCAGCCAATTCAAATTAGTTTAGGTTATAAATGTCATCATGTGACTAGGGCTGCTCAATTAATCGTATTTTAATCGCAATTACGATTTTGGCTTGCAACGAAAACAACGTAATCGAAATAAAACGATTTTTCAGTTGAATTATACTTAAAGTTCAGGGTAATCAACTGTTAAAAACATACGGTTACATTTTTTTTCAATACATGGATGTTTTCAAAGCAAATGGATAATCGTTTTTAATAATCGTGATATCAATTATTGACCCAAATAATCGAGATTATGATTTTTGCCATAATCGAGCAGCCCTACATGTGACAATGTTAAGAGGCTTTGTATATGAGCAGTATCCGCCTTTAAGTTAAAAATAACAACATAATAAAACACTCCAAGAGGTATTACAATTTTCAGCAATAGAACACTGTTTGCCATTTATTTCCTGCAGCGTTGAAGGCAAACAATAATGAGATAAGTAATCAGAGTTTTTTTTATTTGTTTCCTCTCCCTCCCACCGACCCATTTGTTCCCGTGGCTCACCTCAGCAAATTTCTCAAAGTGGACTTGGCTGATGTTGGCTTCAGAGTCAGAGTAGAGACACTCCAGGGTGACGCTCTCTCCCTCCAGGACCGGCTGGGTCGGCCCTTTAATGAGCAAAGTGGCTGCGTGTGGACAGAGATTACACATGCTGGTTATTGATCACAACATAAATGGGCAGGGGGCTCACTGGGGATCGGCCTGGGGGATCTCGCTGCTGTTCTGGGCAATACTTTCTAGACAACCGCTGCCTTTTGCTGACATTTTGTTTCCTGCTCCTGTAAACACTGCCAATACTCTCAAAGTCCCCATGGCCACATGACCAACAACAGGTTATTCCACTTCCTTCGCTGAACTCCTGACAGTCATCTATTTGTTGTTCACTTAAGACGAGAACTATTGCATACCACAGACATAGTTTGCATTATTTTGTACAGTTAAGCAATTAGTTTAAACTGAACATATATTTGTATTCAGTAGGATAAGTGTAAATACATACAAATCTATATACAACATTGTTTTTCTTGCCAGTCCCTTGATGATACAACAAACACTTCTTGCGTCAGTCTGTGTTGCCACAAGGGGAAACCCATCAGTGTGACAGAAGAGAAAATAAAGCATTTCCTCTCGAGGACATACGCACTACCAACCAGACAAGCAAGCAGTGAAACAGGCAGGAACACACACATACACACAAACACACACAATAATCCAACAACAAATGTATGAATATGGAAGTTAAAAACCCCAGAACAAGACTTGAGGATTAAATAGATTTTTCCAAAGCAGCAATAAAATTAAATGTTTTTACTAGATTGTAAAACAGTACATGAGTAAATAAAACAGATTTACCATAGCTGCCATGGATCAGGGCAACCACTGCAGCAACAAGAAGAACATTCATGATTGTTCAAAATATGTTCTCAATACTGTGGCGAAATGGTGCGATCTCCTGTGAAGCCTCTTATCTGAAATGAAACTTGCACAGTATTTATTTATGCCGAGGTGTAGGAGTGGCTTGTATTTTGAGGAAGTAGCTTCAAAGTAGTCCGATATTGTGAAAGTATTAAACAAAACAACCATGCGAATCAAAATAGTTCATTTTCTTTTTAATGTCTCTGGTCATGACATATAATATGAGGTGAATAGACGCCTGGAATTGTTTATGTGAAGTGTAAATGAAGGAAGTGCTCCAGTGATATTTAAATGCAGTGCCACTGCGTCACCACTCTCTGGGCAGAGTCAGACCCTCCACGTTTGCTCTCTGAGCTTGTTGTTGAGGTCAGTATGTTGTATAAGTTCAACAGGTTTCGAGAGATGTCTTAACATGTAAAAGCAGAGTTTCGTAATTTCCCTGGCGTGATATAGCCTACATAACACCGAGCCAGCAAGCATTTTACGCTTCACTCGCTTTGATCATTGAGATGAGCGGGAATGAAATCGAAAGATATTCAGTCCATCAAATACAGAGCATCACGAGCGTTTGCTGAACGCACACTTATGGCGCGTTTCCACTGCAGCGGGTAGCTCGCTTTAAGTTACTTATCATTGAAATCCTAGTTTTTTCACTTTCAGTTAGATCCAGGTGTGTTCGGTTGTCTTCATAAATCATGGATAGCTTATTAAATAAATAGGCATACACTATATTTTTCTCCCACTGATATTCTATTACTACAATAATATAGTGACTTTTCAACAAGCGAAACATTGTGTCAGAAATACATGTCGGTCAGAGCAAGCAAACGACAGTGTTCCCTTTTCTCATAACTCTGAAATGTTCCTCCTATGCACATATCTACACAAATCAGAAAGTCTACACCAGCCTTAACACTATTTAAGATAAAAGTATATATATATATAGGCCTTTGTGTTCACAATCAAATAAACCTTTAAAACATCTTAAAATTAGCACACATTATGGATGTATACCCTCCATGTAAACAGTATCTAATTTAACAATTACCTGCAACGCAGGGGCCTGCATATTTTGAGAAGTTGTACTTAGACTGTATTATATCCTTATGCCCATCACTGCAAAGGATATGTACTACTTCCTATAACTTCATTATAAATTAAACCACATAAACCTTGAACAAATCTAACAAAGTGCTATGTAGGTGGTTGTTTTAAAAAAAATATGTAGGTGGTATGTCTAAATCAGCATGATTTACAATAAAGGCGTAATGCGAATATTATAATAAATGCTTGAAGTTGAAGATGTTTTGTTTCATTGTTATAACTTATCCAACACAAATCTATTATTTCTTTACTACTTTAAATGTGTTTTGCTCTATGAATGCATTTTTAAAAATATTGCCATTATTCTATGCCATTATTTGTACACATTTGTTTAAGTATTATACTTGTTATTAATGGGATATATCTTGAAAATACTGTATTTCCTTATCATCAATTGGTTTAATAATGGTGTAGTTCCAAATTATCCGGCAGATGGCAGTGTAGAGGCTTCATGTTTTCACCGGAAATAGATATAAACAAAGCGGAAGTAGTGAACGAGATAACCTCGATCATTTTTCTAGCTGTGCCGAGGCAATTTGAGGGACTCTTTTTGTATCAAACTTACCTATATTCCCCGCAACGACCCCGAAACATGGACAGATAGTGTTTGTTTTACTGGGTAAGTTGTCAACTTAACGGCTAATTCTAGGATGTATGGTGCAGAAAGCCGCGGCGCTAAGATTAGCTGCTAATGTTAGCCTGTAATGCTACATTCAAAGCTGCTATTGTTTTTAGCACATTACGGTGTGTTAGCGTCGGTATTTAACCTTTTCCTTTCTTTATACAACATACACAGCCGATTGGAGCTGACAGAATTGATCCCATTGTTTGACAGTGTCATTTTTCTGTATCTGTTACAATTGAGATCAGACGGCATAGTTTTGCGGCTAAGTTTTCTGACTGAAAACTCATCTCTTTCGACTCCACTTCGAGCGATAGAACTACTAACAAAACATTATATACTAATAAAGGACTGGCTTACCTAAAGCCAGTTGAGTAGCACTTGAAATGGTTTGTCTCTATGAAACCTGATGTACTTATATGATTCTGTTTTCTTCAAGTTTGTATCTTCGAATGCACTTATTGTAAGTCGCTTTGTATAAAAGCGTCAGCTAAATGTAATGTTAATGACCTATTTGTGGTTTCACAAAGTACTCTACAAAGACAATAACATCAGCACAGTAATGCAATACAATGTAGAGCAAAAACGGATAATGACATAACAACACGTAACCACAATAAAAAATAAAAGTTACATCAAGAAATCGAGCATAATGGATATAACAATAGGAAAAACTAAAGGCATGCATTAATATATGTTTTTTCCGTGAAGGGTTTGCAAGCAGTTTTAAGCATGTTAACGTATTGTTTCTGTGATCCTAACTTGGCTCTTTTCCCCAGATTTACGGAGGTGGTCCCTGTAAACGAGAATCTATCACTCCTGTGCCCACCTTGGATTGTCACTCCGGACTCTGACACACAACAATTCTGCTTCTTGTGAAACTCCAGAGACCCTTCGCTTTATCTGTGGCCACCAACATGGCTAACAGCACCGCAGCAGCAGTGAAGGTTGGGACCCCTGGCCCCGCTGGCAGGACCAGTCCAGAGGGATCTCAGGTCAGTCAGCCTATTTATTTAATGATGGGGTCCCTGTTATCACCTTTTTATCTAGAGCCCTCATTACACTACTTAGCAAGGACTCAACATCTGTACTCTTTTGTAACATGAATACGTCTGCTTTGCCTCCAGGTGCTCAGTAAGAAGAAGCTGCAGGACCTGGTGAGAGAGATCGATCCCAATGAGCAGCTGGACGAGGATGTTGAGGAGGTTCGTCAGCTTTCTTAATGATGTTAGGTAGTGAAGTTTAAAGTGTGACATGAATACTACTTGCATCTTGCAGGCCCTTGTTGCTATAGCTTTCCTAACTGACTGCCACATCCATCATTTGGAAGTGTTATTCTATGGAAAGCCTGGCTGCATGAAAAATGAGGGATCTGTCCAGCCGTCGGGGAAAGTTACTTTCCTTTACTGAGCACGATGGATGGTTTTCAAAATGCCTGTCTCTTCTCAGATGCTGCTACAAATTGCAGATGACTTTATAGAGAGCGTTGTGACAGCGGCCTGTCAGCTGGCTCGCCATCGCAAGTCCAACACCTTGGAGGTGAAGGATGTTCAATTACATCTGGGTAAGTTGGCTTTAAATGCGGTGTTTAAGCGTTTCTTTGAACAGCTAATGTGTTCAGGTATACAATACATGGCAGCCCTGTCAGCTGTTGTGGATAATTGCTTTACTAAACAATTGTCTTAACATGTCATTAACCTAACGTTAATTTAATGTTGAAGCCATAACAGGGCTCGACATTATAAATGCCCCTCTGGCCCGGAAGCATTATTTAGACACTCCTTTAAAAAGAAAAATAAGCTGTTTGCTGCGGGGCGCCAGCAGGCTCCCGTGCTCATTCACTGCAGACTTTCTCCCCACCTAACCATTCGCCAAAATGTTTTTAATACCAGCGATAACCGGCCAAGCGCTGGGCAAAAAAAAACTATCTTCAAATAAAAGAATGTCACAGAAGGAGTTAGAGAGTGACAGGGAGTAGGAGAAGAAGAGGGAGAGAAAGTTTCAGCCACACTGGCTTGATCCATCGAAGAGTAGAACATATAAAGGTATATTGGCTTTAGAGAAATGTCCCAGCAGTTTAGGATAATGAAGAATCTAATCTATTACATAGCCATTACATTTCTAACTCCTAATGACAGGAAGGCAGAAAGTGCATTATACTAGTAATAATGATAATAGCAGACATTTTTTAACAATGACCACAATATCATTATTTTAATAAACCAAATATGAACAATTGAGGAAAATTAGGAAGAACTGATGAATCAAATGTTGTAGTAATGTTTGTGCATAAATGACTATTGCAACAAATGTGTTCATTTTCTTCATTATTAGTGGATTTTTTGGACGAATGCTCCGGGCCAGTGGTTACAATGGGGGGGCCAGTGGTTACAATGGGGGGGCCAGTGGTTACAATGGGGGGGCCAGTGGTTACAATGGTGGGGCCAGTGGTTACAATGGGGGGGCCAGTGGTTACAATGGTGGGGCCAGTGGTTACAATGGGGGGGCCAGTGGTTACAATGGGGGGCCAGTGGTTACAATGGTGGGGCCAGTGGTTACAATGGGGGGCCAGTGGTTACAATGGGGGGGCCAGTGGTTACAATGGGGGGGCCAGTGGTTACAATGGGGGGGCCAGTGGTTACAATGGGGGGGCCAGTGGTTACAATGGGGGGGCCAGTGGTTACAATGGGGGGGCCAGTGGTTACAATGGGGGGGCCAGTGGTTACAATGGGGGGGCCAGTGGTTACAATGGGGGGGCCAGTGGTTACAATGGTGGGGCCAGTGGTTACAATGGTGGGGCCAGTGGTTACAATGGGGGGGCCAGTGGTTACAATGGGGGGGCCAGTGGTTACAATGGTGGGGCCAGTGGTTACAATGGTGGGGCCAGTGGTTACAATGGTGGGGCCAGTGGTTACAATGGTGGGGCCAGTGGTTACAATGGTGGGGCCAGTGGTTACAATGGGGGGCCAGTGGTTACAATGGGGGGCCAGTGGTTACAATGGGGGGGCCAGTGGTTACAATGGGGGGGCCAGTGGTTACAATGGGGGGGCCAGTGGTTACAATGGGGGGGCCAGTGGTTACAATGGGGGGCCAGTGGTTACAATGGGGGGCCAGTGGTTACAATGGGGGGCCAGTGGTTACAATGGGGGGGCCAGTGGTTACAATGGGGGGGCCAGTGGTTACAATGGTGGGGCCAGTGGTTACAATGGTGGGGCCAGTGGTTACAATGGTGGGGCCAGTGGTTACAATGGTGGGGCCAGTGGTTACAATGGTGGGGCCAGTGGTTACAATGGGGGGCCAGTGGTTACAATGGGGGGCCAGTGGTTACAATGGGGGGCCAGTGGTTACAATGGGGGGGCCAGTGGTTACAATGGGGGGGCCAGTGGTTACAATGGGGGGGCCAGTGGTTACAATGGGGGGGCCAGTGGTTACAATGGGGGGCCAGTGGTTACAATGGGGGGGCCAGTGGTTACAATGGTGGGGCCAGTGGTTACAATGGTGGGGCCAGTGGTTACAATGGGGGGGCCAGTGGTTACAATGGGGGGCCAGTGGTTACAATGGGGGGCCAGTGGTTACAATGGGGGGGCCAGTGGTTACAATGGTGGGGCCAGTGGTTACAATGGTGGGGCCAGTGGTTACAATGGGGGGCCAGTGGTTACAATGGTGGGGCCAGTGGTTACAATGGGGGGGCCAGTGGTTACAATGGGGGGGCCAGTGGTTACAATGGTGGGGCCAGTGGTTACAATGGGGGGCCAGTGGTTACAATGGGGGGCCAGTGGTTACAATGGGGGGGCCAGTGGTTACAATGGTGGGGCCAGTGGTTACAATGGTGGGGCCAGTGGTTACAATGGTGGGGCCAGTGGTTACAATGGGGGGCCAGTGGTTACAATGGGGGGGCCAGTGGTTACAATGGGGGGGGCCAGTGGTTACAATGGGGGGGGCCAGTGGTTACAATGGTGGGGCCAGTGGTTACAATGCCCCCCCATTGTAACCAGTAGCTAGTGGAATTGTACCCTTAATGTCTACCCCTGCATAATCATACACACTCACACACTAATGACAGTTAATCACATTGGCGTTTCTGAAGAGACATTTTCTTTTAGAATTTTACAAAAAGCTGGCATCTTCAAAGGAAGCATTCAAGGATTTATGCTGTAGAGAAAATACAAAAACAAACCTCTTTGAAAGTGTTATGTCGAATAGAAAAGCTGCGTTCTACCCTTGAGCGAAGGTAATTTGTGCTCATCTCCCGGAGTGACAATGGACTTCTCAGGAAGCTCTTGTGACTGTTTGCAGACAGCTTTCGGGGTAACATGGCAACCAAATCACTGACTGATAAAATGTCAGCTCTGCTTTGCCATGACAGTAAGGATAGTCAAGGCCGTTGTGGATGTTGAAATGATTTTGCATGTCTTTTCTCAGAGCGCCAGTGGAACATGTGGATTCCTGGTTACGGCTCCGATGAGATCCGGCCGTTCAAGAAGGCTTGCACCACAGAGGCTCACAAACAGGTGAGCGACACAGTTGTTGGTCACAGTTAAATATTCAGATTCATACGTTTTTTTGGATCAATCTCGTACATGTCATTACTTTTTATTCATATTGAAATGAACAAGCCTAACCGGTTTCTTTTGTTTTTCATTTCAGAGAATGGCGCTGATCCGCAAGACAACCAAAAAGTAGCAAGACTGTTCTCTGATATGTTGTACCCACTCTGTGTATTGTCTTTTTTCCCCCTTTTCAGTTGGGATGTTTTTTGACTTGTAAGGAAGAAAAGGATGGTTTGGGTGAAGTTTTTTTTTTTCATTTGATATTAGATAGTGTTTCATTGTCATGTCTCTAACTTTTTGAGTACTGTGCCACATAGATCACATAATAATGTAATTATTGTGTCGGATTCTGTTTTTGTTGCCATTAAGCTAAGCCTGGCAGAGCTCTATTCATTGCAATTTTTTCAATAAACATTTACTGGAATACTTCTTTTCGATGAGGTGTTTCTGGTTTACCTTTTTAATATTCTAAAGCATTTGGACGTGGATTCAAAAAGATTTAGTGTTCTCATGCCAAAATGTTTTATTTTAGGATATTTAATAACATCCTATTGCATATGATGGCTATAGTAGGTTTTATTACATTGACACTTTTTGCCACCATCCCTGCAAGTTTTATTTTTGTCTATTTCAGCAAAACAATTATAGAAGAAATGGTACTTTTCACAAAATAATAAATACATAAACAAAGGATCTGGTATCAAAAGAGACATTTTGTATTTGCAGCATTTGACATAAGTGAGTCTAACTAATAGGATCATTTCACATGTGGTATATTTGCATTGAGCCAATAACATCCCTGTACAAACACACAACAGTTAACCTGTCAGTAAATCTCTGGGTTTCTTTTAGTAGCAAAACAAATGGTCTGCCTTTTCTCTGCAGAAACACAGGTGGCTGTTTAATCTGCCAGACGGACAGTAATTGCTATGGAAACCTCTCACAACATAAAACAATATCCAAATGTACCCTAGAGTTGTATAAATTAATTAATTTGAACAAAAGGACGTCCAAAACCAGCGCTCACTCTCAACATGCTGTGATGCAACAAAGCCGTCTCTAGAGAACACCGATCAGGCCCAAAGCATTGCAGCACAATTCACAGTCATAGGGGGATGTTTATAATCTCCACCAAGGCACCCGAAATAACAGCTGCCAATCACCGACAGAACAAGTAACATGGACAAGAATCACAGATTAAGGTGCGGAGATGGGTTCTAAAGAAGGAAAAGCAGTGTCATTGTACAGTCTCACAAGGAAAAATAAAACAAATGATGCCAATTTGCAACAACAGTACACATTCTGACCAATCAGATATGGTAATGGAATCAGGACACCAAGGTTGGCAACCTACTGTCCAAACATCGATAGAAGAGAAGATGTGATCGTATCCCACTTGTATACAATGAATGCCATTGTGATGCACTCTCATCTGGCACCAGTGGTGGATCAATATGTCCTCATTACAACTCCTGCCCTTCTGAACTCAGGTAAGCAAAGACCTCATCAGTCCATGTTAGGCTGATCAGCTGTTGGCCTAGCATCTCACCAACGAGATCTGAACCGCTCTGTCAAGTTTTAAAAGTCCTATAAAGGAAGGAACTAGAGATTTTGCAATTAAATAAGAGTTTACAGCTGCGCTAGCAACATGTGACTATTGCTAACATCAGCTTGTTAGCATGCTGCTGATTAGCAGGTAATATATCATGTCACCATTTTATCCCCGAACAATAGCAACAGCCAAAAAGTACAGCTTTGGAAAATAGGCATGATTTTAGTTTTCATAAACCCAAGTGTTGGGCCAAATGTAAAATTTGAACTGAAGATTGCGCTAGAACAAAAGTAAAAGGGCCTGAGCACCTGGAGTAAATATTCAGACATTTCACCAAAAAACAAACATGGCAACCTGCTGCTGGTGTTAGATACAAAAAGGGTACCACTTTACAATAAGACTAGCCTTATAAAGGGTTTACGAATAGTTTATAATTTATTTATTAATTAGGTTGTGAACACTTTATAAATCCTGAATAAGCTTTTATAAGACATGAGATAAACAGGGCAGTGACCGGTTGCTTGTCAAATAGTGAGTCCACATTTATCTGTACTGCTAAGCCTTATATTGGCTACTTAGCTTACTTCGTCTCCTTCATCAGCCAGCATCCTTGGTATCTGTTGCTCACGGAGTTGATTCTCGCTAAGTAGCCAATATAAGGCTTAGTCATCTTGCCAAATAGTGAGCCTGTGTTGACGTCTATGTTAGAACTGGTTTATAAATGGTTCTTAATGATAAATAAAGTGTTTACAACCTAATTCATAACCTAATTATAAACCCTTTATGAATCCTTTATAAGGGTAGTCTTATTGTAAAGTGGTACCAAAAAAAGTCAGGGAATCACCAAAGTCAGTGGGGAAAAATCCTCTTGGGATCTAAAATCTGTCATCTAAAAGTACGTTTATCTGTTTTACCAAACAACTGATCAACATTGCCATCATGGCCCAAAGATGAAAGTCAAAACATTGTACTTTAGTGGTTTTCATGATGGTCCCGTTATTACATTAAACCTCCAGCATAGATCAGACCTCCTGGGAGCTGGTTTTAGTTCTATTGTAACATTGTGGGAGACCACCGCCAGTCCACGGTTTAATTACAACACTTCTTCTTCTTGGTGGTGGTGGAGCTGGGTTGTGTCAGGCTGGCTCTCTGTAACTGAAGCGCATGAGGTGCGGCACACTTGACTCCATCCCAGCCCTCCTGCAGCTCCACCTCTCCGCTCAGCAGACCCTGGTAGACCCTCCGAGTGAGCAGCTCGAAGGCCTCCCTCACGTTCTGACCCGTCTTGGCAGAAGCCTCGATGTACGGCATCCCTAGCTGCCCGGCCAGTTTCTCAGCCTGCTCCTGACTCACCACCCTCCCCGCCTGAGCATCTTGGTCGCTCTTCTGTCCCACCAGGACAAACAGAACCTTATGCGGCTGCACTCGCTCGCACACCTCATCGTGCCACTCCTTAATGTGGTCAAAGGAGGCTTGGTTGGTCATGTCAAACACCAGCAGGCCTCCGACTGAGTTGCGGTAATAAGAACGGGTGACAGACCTGAGGAGAGACACGGGGTTAAATCATGAGGAAAGAGGCTGGAGGTTTGAATGTCAACACATGAAAACCTCACTGGGTGGTGCAGAGGTCAGACTGGGCTTACTAACTTCCTGTTAGAGTGATCAAATAATCAGCTGATGCTCTTCACTGTCTGAGTTGAGCTCTTTTTAAAGATAAGCAGGTTGATTAAAGAGTCAAGAAATGAGTAACCACTGTTTCTCTCAGCCTAATCAGGAAACTGTCAAGAGGCATAGAGTTCCCCCATGAGTCACTGAATGTTTAACCAAAATCATAGGGCTGGTCCTCCTTGGAGCCCGTTGCTCCACACTTTATTCATGACTTATTTAGGAAAACTATTCAGCTGACTTTTTAGCTGACTCATGTGGGATAAGCTGGCTACAGATACGAGGCAGAGAGGAGGTAAACACAAACAGGCAGTCTGCAATTTGTCACAGTTCGTTCAACTGGAGAACTGATTTAATGAATTTAGAGACAGAGTGAAATATTGTACTGTTTGTTTTTTCTTTAAATATGCTGAGCATGAAGAATAACGCCCTTTGAAAGATCGGCCTCTTCAACTTTAAGCATTACACATACATCACTGCGTCTCTGCACACACTGATGGTGTGAGTTTGGCAGGGTGGATACACAGTGTGAATGGAATAACCCGTGCTAGTTTATTTGGATAGTATATTTGCATGCAGAGGAGTCATATTGTGATATTTATATTCTAGTACTATCTTATACAAAGAAGAATAGCGTCTGGTGCATCCTCACCTGAACCTTTCCTGCCCGGCTGTGTCCCAGAACTGCAGCTTGACGCGGACGCCCGGCTCCACCTCCAGGAAGTGAACGTAGAAGTCTACACCCACCGTCTGGTTGATGGACTCCAGGAACAAGTCTTCTGTGTAGCGCTTCAGCAGGGAGGACTTGCCCACTGTGGAGTCCCCCAGCATGATGATCCTGAACTGGTACTGCCACAACGTTAGATCCATGGTTGCTGGTTGTGGGGAAACAAGGTATGACAGTGAATACAACTTGTTGGGAGTATACAAGTTGGGTTCAAAATAAGATGGACACCAAAGGAATTATGAAAGAGGTTGCAAGTAAGGTCAGGAATAGCTAAGGTTTATATTGAACACTATAGATGGTACCTTAAGGGTTGTACAAGATATTTAAAGAAGACATATTACCTGTAAGAGACTAGAAATCCAGCTTCCCACCAGTTGGTTCCTTATCTTTGACGCTCCAAATGTTGAGAACAACCACAGCAGCCACTCCTTGTAAATCTCGCAATCAGCAATCTGTTGACAGTCACCTCAAACTCCTATACAGGTGAGGGCTGCAGCACAAGTCTCTCACTCTCTGCCCCATGGTGGTTCATCTAAAACTCTTCAAAAAGCAGGTTTGTGGACAAATCTGTCCCACAAAAGTAGATCCTAGTACAGCTGTGTTTGGCACCCGAGTTGCTGAACCTGACTGATACTGTAAGCATGTGCATGGGTGTGCTGCAGGGGAGTGCACTTCTAAAGTTTCCCTGTTTATACTTGACAAAAGGCGGGGTAGAAAAAGGATATGGGGAGGGCTGTTGTGGAATGGGAGGGCCATATGTGGGAGTAAAAGGGGAGGGGGGGTTATAAAGGAAGTAGTGTTGCATTTGATACCATATCAAGACAAAACGTAATGTTTCCTGCTGGTTTATATCTGAGTGACATCATTGACAGTGGTGGACTTGGGCAACTGTCTGCCCACAGGATTTGCAGCAGTTCTCATCACTTTATGGTATTGTCAGTAGAGTGAACATTGCTACCTGAAAAGGGAAGTTGACAAGAATACTCCTTTATGTTCCCCTGGGAATCACTAGGAAAGGCTACTCCTTTTCTACAATGGGTTTGTTGAAGGTTTCATGGTATGTTTAGTAATGACTACATGTCTACTTCTTAGTCATTGTGACTATTTTAGTATTAAACTTGGGTGTCATTAAATGCACGTTTCTATGAGAGCAACAAATAAAATAGCACACAAATGTATTCAGCTTTTTACAGCTATCACAAGACAGCAACTAAATACTGTACAAGTTATTTTTCTGTCCAAACCGAATTGTAATGAATAAGACATCTTCTAGCCTTTACATTTATATAAAAAAAAAGAACACTAGTAGTTTCAAGTTCCCCCAATGCCAAACAGCATCAACAGTATTGCTATCAATGAATACAAAAGCTTTTCAGTCTCTTTAAAACGCATTAGAGTATCAATGCATGCTCTTGTTTAGCTTTCATTTAAACCAAGGTTCTCATAGTCGCTGGTAAAAAGCAGAAGTTGCCATGATTCTCAGCTTTACTTCAATAAAAAGCCAAATTGTCGAGAGGAATATAAATATATTTATTCAGAATGAACACACAATCACACATGCATCTGAGCTTCATATAAAAATACAGCATGTTTTCATTTGGGTCACCAACAGATTTAGCATTGGCAGCAATGATTTAGATATTCAGGCTCATTACATTCGACAAGACTCCAAGTGAAAATGTGACCTCTTCTAAAGTTGGCTGTTGGGGATGCTTTGAAATCAGATCTTTAGGTTTCTCTATCAGTTTTAAAGCGTCAGATCTCAGATCTCATATCCAAGCCTTCTTTATTCTGTTAAAACGGCTGACTCAACAGGTCACTTTAAGTGGACCTGATCTTCAGATAACTAAGTCAGTTTAGTACGCTCTGTAAAAGGCAATGGAGTTCAAAGCCTTTGTGTGTCAGCAAGCTCTAACATAAAAGTCATGCAAGCAGGAGCGGTGAGTTCAAGTTGAAGGTGAGAAACCTTGAAGAAATAACACCCTAAAGTGCACGACCCATTACAAAGGCTTTGAATGGATTTGCTGATGTCTAAACAATTCACTTTAATACAACAAAAACAAATATAGACCCCAAAGTCACCTAAACATAACTTTGTGAACACGTTTAATCTCAGTCTTGAGTTACAGTGCCAGACTATTTGAAACCATAATGGCATAAAGCCTACTCACTGTTGTGTGGAAACTCTGAATGAGAGATATGACATGCAAGAAGAAATACATCACATATAATTGCAAGACACACAGTAACAGACATTGTTCAAAGAAGTAAATGTTTAAATGTTATTTTGACTATACAAACACAACGATTGTACAATACATGTTTCTTATGAGTGTTTTCATACATTTGATTGAATTAAAGGACAGATGTTCGAACTGGAACCCTGACTCTTTCTCGCTGGTGCAAATTAATAAATGATCGGCTTTTTCAAACTTTTTCCTAAGTTTCTATTCTTAACAGAAACAACATATAATATCCATGTCAACTTTCTCTCAAGCTTTACGATTTAAAATGTGCCGACTGTAGACAATCAAGCTGATGCTGATGTCCGTGTTTCTCTCTTCCCATTCGACAAATATATATTTGTACAGGTATTCAAAAATGTGTTTCCTTTCAGTTCCCTATACACACACTTCACCTCAGCTTCTGCTTATGAAAGCAACTGCAAACCCCCACAGCGTAGACAGCATGAAACCCCTACAGTATACACATCCAATACAAGCTTAATATATTTGAGTGTATACATTATTATGTAACATATCGTTCCGATCAGAAGGTATAAATAGTTAATAACAGTCCAGCCTTTCCTCTGCCTGAGTGACACAGGAACTCACAGCTTCCCACGCTGGCTCTCAGGACAGAGAGAGGAACTTGAGATCCGAGAGGTCTGGTTCAGGAGAGCTGCTGTCGCTGCGGTCGCTGTACGTGTCCCTGCAGAGGAACGCCAACACATAAAGTGAGAACAGCAGTAAAGCCTGACAGCGATTGCTTTACGGTGATTGCAGCTGCGATAAGAATACTCACGGTGAACCAAGTGTAAGAGAGTAGATTATGACACTTAATACAATTATGCTTGTAAATTGCCGTTCAGGTTGAAGAGTCAACTACATACGAGTCAATTCAACGACACATAAAAGCGTCAACAATATAACGGCATACTTTAAAGGGAATGAAACACAAAATGGGATGTCTTTATGTTGTACACTATGGGGGAAATGTACAGTATGTCCCAATCTTAGGTAAGGTAGATTTCAAGCTAATCAGAGTTAATGTCAGTAAGCAGGTTATGGAACAATATTTTACATGATTTGATGCCATTCCAATAAAGAAACGTATTTAAATTGAATTAGCCAGTACGGGGGGGGGGGGGGGGGGGGGGGGGGGGGGAGAAGATGGATATAAGCATAGACAATCGTAGTAGATAATTGTAGAAAAATACGATTTAGATGTAACCAACGAACTGCTGGAGCATCGTGAAGCTATTTTATTCTTGGTCTTGGCTATTAACATAAAAAGGAGTGATTTAAACCCAACACATTAAACGCTAAGGGTTATAGCTCATCTGAAACATACTCACCATCACTTGAGTGATTACGCTCTTTTGGAGTGATTATACCTGTGTGTTCTGAATTTTGTATTTCCATGTTTTTTTGCAATTACTGTAATTTGCAAATGAGATGTAATGTAGTTCTAAACGTCTGAAGCAGTCAGAGCTCACCGTGGAGACAGACGGCAGCCCTTGGCCAGGTAGCTCGGGAGTTTCCCTGCCGCAGCCAGCAGGAGACCGAAGTACGGAGGAGAAGGTTTCATGGGTCTGGAGGTGAACTCTGGGTGGTACTGCACTCCCACAAAGAAACAATGATCTAACACAACAAAGAGCAGTGGATTAGTACACACCCATTAAGCTCCAGTACATAGGAGGTAACATTTATAGAGGTAGAGACGGTAAGAGCCATCCCAAACATGAGCCCGGTCAAAGCTTTCAGGTGATACTCAGCCCGTGGAAGCCGGTTTAAAAAACACTCACTCTCCAATTCAATGATCTCCATTCGCTCTCCTTCCACATCCTGGCCGACAAACTGAAGACCCTTTTCTTCAAAGTGGTGCTTGAGCTCAGGGTTCACCTGAAATGAGGAATGGTTCAAGGTTTCGGGAAAGATTTGTATCCAAATAAGGTTAGAAGGTCGTCTAATTACTGATACCTCAACATGAACTCTGGCTATAACCATGCAAAACAGAAACATTTCAATGGAGCTAAGAGTGCAGCCTGCACAAGCATAATAACATTGACCAGGAATGCATTAGCTCTGCTCTCCCAGACCCTACGTTTTGCGTTACCTCAAATCTGTGCCTGTGCCTCTCGTCAACATATTCCACATCTCCGTACAGTTTTCCTAGAACAATGAAATGACACTCATCAGAAACACAATAGCCAGAAGCCAACCAGCGCTGTACCATTCATTCAAGAAGGAGACGTACTCATTACGCTGTTGTTGGATTTGAACATAGTCCGCCTCTTCCCCAGCCTCATAGTCCCGCCCATCTGCCCTGGGTTGTGCTCTGGCATGTCAATCACCTGTCAAGATAAAACGGGACGTTTAAACCGATTCTGGTGAGGACTCTGCTGGAAGGATGTGATATGGGCTCAGAAGATAACCTACTACGGGGTGACTGGACTCTGGATTAAATTCTGTCGAGTTGGCATCTGGAAAAGATAAGCGAAGCTGATATGAGCTCAAATCAACTTCCCCTCGGGTCTGTGTTCTTTCATCATTCGATTAGGAACCATAGGAGTCAAATGTTGATTTGTGTTACAGTGGCATCAACTGCACACTGACTCACTCACCTTCCCATCCGAGGATATTGCGGGCGAACTCACACACCGCCAGCTGCATGCCCAAACACACTCCTGCAGAAACAGGAGCAGCAGGATACGAGCATAATGAGACAGAGCACTCGTATTTAAGGGAAGACTGACGGATATCCGCACTGTGCAAAACCACTTATATGACTAATGCTTCTGCATGCGATTATAAAGTGCCTATATAAGGTTTTGACATTTTTCAGGACTCATTATATTACAAGTGTTTAAGTGGCAGCAATTAAACCTTTTTTTCTATTATAACGTCAGTCGGAACAAAGTCATTGAATGCACAATAATGAATGGCCTTCATGTAATGTTCTTTATGTGGCAGCACTTTGAGGTTTGAATCGTGGATACAGTGAGTCTGTAACGAATGTAGAAACCTGAACACTTTTTCATTGTCTCTTTAGATATTTCATCAAATGCTAATGTTTTTAGCAGGAAAAACACATTTCATGGCAGTTACAGGAATATAACAGACTGTGGCAGCATGCAATCAATTCTATTTGTTCTTCATATTATTGTAAGAGGCGTCTAAAGCTCACCGCGTTGAGCACCCCCATGTAACTATGGCCCATGCCCCTCTTTCCTGTCTATATTCAACTGCACTAACAAGGCAATACGAACTGAGATATACATATACAGTGCAGCTCTAATTAAGTATGAGGCTGCAGGACTCAGGTGAGGGTGTTGCACTTTTCTTTTCCTTATACCTGTGATGTTTTGTTTCTTTCCGTTAACCGTCAAGTGGGAAATTTTTTTGTTTGTGTTTCTCTTAGTATCCTAAGATACTGTTATGTTTGGCTGTGAATATATATTATTATGAAGGGCAGACCATCTATTTGTATTTATGTTGTTGTTTTTAGAGAGGGGCAGATCACAGAAGACGTTATTCTTCTCCCTGCTCCTTTTCGCTCAATGGTGTTTTGGTAGAGTCATGTTTTGTGGCAATTATTGTACATTTGGTTTTGCGTACCATGAGCGGGACAAATAAACATGAAATAATAGAATTGTTTACATGTCTTTAAGGTGAACTGGTAAACATGTCTAGTTTCCATCAGGTTTGCTATTAGTATGAAATGTAACAATAGCATGTAATGAAGGCAGGAAGGATTGAACCTCTCTTACCCAGGAATGGCTTGTTCTCTTTCCTCGCCCAGTTAATAGCGTGCATCTTGCCTTCTGTCCCTCTCACACCAAAACCTCCTGGTACCAACACGCCACTGTGAGAGGAGGGGGGGGGGGCAGCCTCAGTTCATTTCATAATAGTCCAGATTACATTGCAGGCAAACATTAAACATTTTAAACCCCTGTAGTCTAGGAGTAAAATACTGGGGAGCTACTATATCAGTGTTCCACTTAGTAAGCTCAACAAAGGTGTGACACGTTGATATCTAGCATTCGTGTTCTATATTCGCTAAACTTTGTGAGACACTATGTGGCAAGACATAATGGCTCATCATTTGATTAGGCTACATGCCAGCTTTCTTTAAAACCAATGCATCCCATGTTGTGAAACGATGTAAACCCATTGGTATGACAGGACTCTGCTGCCATCATGTGGCATACGTAATAAACCTTGTATCAGCCGAGTGTAAAACTCATTATCTTCATATTGTACTCACTGAGAGCTGCAGAGTTTCTGCCAGGCTTCATGATATTTCACAGGCTCATCCCTCTGAGTGGCAGCCTCCAGGTCAGCAGAGTCTATGTACTGTCATCATGAAAATACAAAACGCATCATTTGCAAGGGGACAAGTCAACATCATGGCCAACAGGCTGTTTAATATGAGCACACGCTCGGCATTTAGCTACTTTCTAAAGAGACAACATTCAACATAAACTGCACAGCATTGGTGCGAAAGTGAAATATACAAAACATACAAATGTGAGATGCTTCAATACCTTGACTTCTAGTTTGTGATTCACAATGAGGGCTGAGTGCTCTAAGGCCTTGATAACGGACGTGTAGGAGTCAGCTAATTTTGTGTATTTCCCCACCAGAGCTATGGAGACTGGCTCCAAGAGACGGGCAGTTCTGCGAAAATAGGAAAATTGTTCACAGTACCGATCGAGTGCATCATTTATTTACTTTACAGACTCAAAAACACAATACAATGTATTTTTTAGAACCCCGGGCAAAATTAAAGTTGTATGAACCAACATCCTCACCTGTCAGCCATCTCCTTCCACTTTGTGAGCATCTTCCTGGGCCTCACCTCGATGGGTAGACTCAGTCTCTGACAGAGGTAGCTCACCACTCCTTGGTCCTCCAGCAGCAGCGGCACTTTGTAGAGCGAGGAGACGTCATGGACACAGATCACCTGGAAACAATTACACAACGTGTGTTAGAAAATACAATACCACACCTTCAGATGAATTGTATTGGTTCAGAACTAATGTAAGCAGCTTGGGTTTCACATCGAGCTCCAAGTGATGCACGTTCTGAACTCCTTTACCTGCGAGGGCTCCACATGGCAGAACATGGAGATCTTCTCCTTGACAGACGTTTCGAGGGGTGTTGAACAGCGGCACATAATCTGAAAAAAATCAATGCATTTGTATTATAATATTAAAAAAAGGTATGGCCCTCAAAGGTTCCAACATAAAAACACACTTGTAAATGTGATGTCTGGTATGATTTAGATCGCTGTGAGATGAGTATGTAATTATTGGATATAGATTTCTCCACATACAGGGAAAGTGGACGCCTGCTCTGTTATATATGGGGTGCAGGAGGAGATGCCAAATTAAACAACATATTTTAAACCGACTCACTAAATCTGGAGACAAGCCCAGGCCTCTGAGCTCTCGGACACTGTTCTGGGTCGGTTTGGTTTTCTGCTCTCCTGTGGTATTGGGCTGAGGACACAAAAGCAAACTCAGCTCAAATGTTTGCACGAATGTGTGACAAACGACAAGGTTGGACACATGCGTTCACCGGTGTGCAGTACCTGTGGTATCAAGCTGACGTGGATGTTGCAGAAGTTCTCCCTCTTCACCTTGAACTGGAACTGTCTGAAGGCCTCGATGAAGGGCATACTCTCGATGTCCCCCACTGTGCCTCCCAGCTGTAAAACACAGAAACACCTGCTCAGCGCAAAGAACTGCATGCACCAACACACAGGTGTTTCTCGGCATCTTGCATAACCAACACACCCTGGAGAGTACAAAATGAAAACCGCTGTACTGAGCACATTCAACTGGCAAACAGGCTTTGATTTATGCCACGAGGAAAGAGCTGTTGGAGGCAGGGTAATAATTCTGCTTTGTTTATGAAGAGTTGACCAGTTTCAGCGGCACATGTAACAAAGATGATATACTTTTGCAGTACATGTTTTTAAACAAACCTTTTAATAAATAAAACACTGTTTTACTATTTAGTACACCATTTCCCATTGCCGATAATGGCTGGGCAAACAGAAGTAAAGTTTTACAGACTCTCCTCAACAAATCAATGTCTAAAGCCCTTGGTTTTTCAGTGAAAATAAAGCTTGTTTTTCGGCTTCACTGGCCGATCAATGTGTGAATTCAGCTATTTTCTCTGTTTGCTGAATGGTACAATATGTTCCAGTGCTTTGGCCAACATGCTTGGTTTCCTTTCTGATATTAAATCTTTATTTCCCTTAAATACCACTATTAAAAAAAGGTAACAAATAATTGCGTGTGGCCCGTGAAATGTTGAAGTATGACACCGTTGACTTTATATGCAAATTCCAGTTTGTCAATTTAATAAAATGTTCACTTCACAAAAACAGAGAAAATGACCTACAAGACCAACGTACCTCAATGACACAAACTTGTGGCTCCACTCCGTCATCATCGACTGAGATCTTGGCCTGCTTCATCACCCACTCCTGGATGGCATCCGTGATGTGGGGTACCACTGGAGAGATTTATAGAAAACAAGTCATTTAAAACCAATCATCACTGCTTAGTGGACAAGCTTGTGAAGAATGTAGCTCTTGGCAGATTATCCATTCTCTAAACACACATACAGGTGAGAGAATGTAGAATTTCACAACAGTCAGAGGAAGCTTTTTCTTTTTTTGGAGAATGTGCACTAGGGATGGGTATCGTTAAGGTTTTAACGGTACTACTACTTTTATCGATACCGCTTATCGGTCCGGTCTTTTAACGGTTAAACTAACTATATGTTGTATGTCAGGTGTAGGTACCAGATGTGCACGGCCTACCAGATCAGCACTAATGACGTCACGCATTGGCTGTACAGCAAACCAAGAGGACATTTTACACGGCCAAATTCCGCAAAGAATATTAAAAAATAATATACGGATGGAAATTAGCTCAAAGCTAAAATCCGGCATATTTACACTTAAGCATTATTTGTCTAAAGTGTTCATTAAAGTGCATTGTCCCTATTCAAATAAACGATTAAATGAAAATAAACAAATTGTGAACAAAACTAACATTGCTTTTTATTTAAATTAAATAAATAATATTTCACATCAAAAGAAACAACGTTTTAACAAATCATATTAAATAATGTGATGACAGAACTGTAAACAGAATAGCTGAAACTTTAACAAAATAAAGAGTAACTCAGTTTCCTCTCATCATTAACCCAAGTTTGTATAATTGTGTTGTGTGTTGCTGCTAGCATACATAACACCAGACGTGGAAACGTTACTCGTGGATGGGGCTACAGAGCTGCTAGAAAGACAGTCGAACCCGGTGCATTTCTCCGTCTGGATGTGGAGCACTTTTGCTAAATGTTTAGACACATTGCTCGTGTTACCGCCCTTACATGCTGAACTCTTATTGCACTTTAGGCAATAACCACACCTTGGAGCGAGTTCTCTCCGCCATCTCCTCCGTGTGTGTTGCTGCATGTAGCAGCCGCGTGTGTGTAAACTGCCCCGCCCCCTCGCAAGCAGGCGGGGGAGAGAGATCGAAAATACAAAAAAATGACGCATTTTGCAGTCTTTTTGCGTGTTAGAAATGGAGTTGGCGACACTAAAACTGCACTGATGAACGACACTGATAACGTCGGAGCTTAACGGTACCACGGTCTTTAATAATTCAGCCCCGGGGCCCGTTTAATACCGGGGCTCGGTACCCATCCCTAATGTGCACCCACTCACCCTGTACAGTCTTGCCCAGGTAGTCTCCCCTCCTCTCCTTGTTGATGACGGACTGGTAGATCTTTCCAGTCGTGAGGTTGTTGTCTCTGGTAAGACGGATGTCCAGGAAACGCTCATAGTTCCCCAAGTCCAGATCCACTTCCCCGCCGTCATCGAGAACAAAAACTTCACCTGCACGACAGACATTATATCTATTTATCAGAGGGTTTGACCGAATGACACGTATAAACATAAATGCAACTGATGCTAAAGCACCAAACAACTCACCATGTTCATAAGGTGAGAAGGTGCCCGCATCAATATTGATATACGGGTCGATTTTGATGGCTGTGACGTGAAGGCCGCAGGACTTGAGGATTATTCCCACGCTGCTGGCAATGATTCCTTTGCCAATACCAGATATGACACCACCGGTTACCAGGATGTACTTCATGGTGGTTTGTGAAGACTAAAAACAAAGAATACATCTTTACACAACGCTGCACACACACACCTGTCCAACCTGTTCAACCACATGTGTGGGATGAGGACCTGATGCAATACAGACAACACGAGTGTATACACTGTGTAGTATGTGCTCTATAATTCAAATGGAATACCAATATAACAATTCTCCATTGGTTTATTTCATGGCTGTATTGACCTTAGAACAAACGTTGTACGTATAAGAAGTCTTTTATCTAATGTGTATAATCCTTTATAATGTAAACATTGTGGTCTGTTTTACTTGTAGGATTCCTGTGTTCTCAAACTTCACCATTATAACATTACACAAATTGAATCGGCATTAGAAATCATGATGGGTTACATTATTGATTCATGAAACTTAAGAGGCTTCACATTTGTTTACATCTGGAGAAGGGATATTATATGACATAAAACTCATGGTGACGCTAAACTAGTAAATACAAAGTTATTGCCTTTTTAAATAGATAATTTCTAGCACTTGAAGACAGGTTTAAAAAGTTGAACAGTCTTGTACCACATCAACAGGAAAAGAAATGGCGGGAAATACCAGTAGCACAATAAACAACCAAATATGGAGGGGGAGGCTACTGAGAGCATTCTTGCAGTCCAACACATGTGTTGACATTGCGAGAACAAGCATTAATAGTCTGTCAAGAAATACAATACATATAATTACACACACGTGTATTTTGGAGGATTGATTGTACAGCAAGAACCGCTTCTTCACACAACCAGTTTTGCAGGCTGAATGTTATAAATAGGCTACTTAGAGGTAAAGTGATATCAACCTGTACAGTATTCCGCTAACAGGCTACAGTTAAGCTAGCTAGCAGTTATGTTAGCAAGCTAATTTTGTCCAGTTTTAGACAACGACTGACTTTGCAGCATTTTAACCTGTTTACTGGCTCAGTAGCACACCAAATGTGTCTTAGAAAACCACAGAAACTTACCAAACGGCTTGAGAGAAAGACGATAGCGTTTAGTTTCAGTAACTGACTGTTAAAAGCTAAAACTGTTTTTAGCTGTTTAAGAAGCATCAGTCTCCACTTTCCTTGCTGCAGTAACACGCCATAACACGTGGAGCTGACAGACAGATCCACTTGTCCATTACAGGTTATTTCCTTCCGTATTTTTGCTAAATCAATAGTTTTGTGCCCTCTTCGCAGACTCTCAGGCAAACCTAGTGTACCGACCACCCAGGATCAACCAATCAGGTGCCTGCATTCAGAGTTAGGTTACTAAGAGACTAAACTCTGGGCAGTATTTAACCAATATGATAAAATGTCTTCACCACATGCGTCGCGTATTGGAGTGGATAAAGCGTTTCAAGGTCAATGCAAGTGCAACTTGATGTTATAATATGGAATTTTTGTATCATGTACTCTTCCACTAACTGTACTTCAGATCTTATACTCTACTGCATTTCTATCTATTTGCAAGCCCACCTAGTATCTCAACAAAAGTTACATACTGTTTATTTATATTTTAATGTCCCATACTATTCACCTGGTGTTGGCATTACCATGGCCAACATTGTATATGCTTTTAGATTTGCAGCCTACCTAATTTTCATCATATTGTTATTAGACTTACATTTGCACGCTTTGTATTGCAACTGCTGTGCAGCAGTTTCCCTCAGATTGGATTCAATAAACGTGTACCTTTTTTATTATATTATTTTACAAATATTCAGCGTAATGAGTCAATGAAGTTGTCATGTTCTTTTACAGTAAGATCACAAAGTTGCCATGACTGTTCTTGGACATATTATTTGATGTAGTCAATTTATTTTATATGTAATACATTTGTAATATGTTTACTCATTAACAACATTGAGACTATTTTTTATAATTGTGTTGTGTCACTTGCTATTTTTCTGTGTCCTTTCAAATATCAGTTTCACCACCAGATGGCATGTTAGTTCTATATTACATTATTCAGCACACATCTAGACTAAATTGAGCTTTTAACATTGTTTTTCACACATATTGAACCCAATTACTTAATGATGTGAAAAAGGCGTCAGACACAGCTACAAGGATTGTAATACTGGTGTATAGATTCCTTAATAGACTATTATTTGTCCAAGTGAGGCCTTTCAAGATGGACCAATTGTCCCTTAAAACCCATTTGCTACAGTAACAGTATGTGAAATATTAGAGTTTTTCCTTCATGTATTCACTGTCGTGCCGCTCCAGTTTTGCTGTGGGCAATGAGAGTGGTGATTCTAATTCATTTCTGTCCATGGTCTTGATCTAATTAAAGACTTCATCCCTGCCACCTCATTTTCATAAGCTGTTCCCTTCAATTACATCTGGCATGTGAGCACAGACACACATTAACCTCCTGCACAAAGAGCTACTGTGCTCCCCTTATCTTTCTGCAATCTTAAAATAACAGAGTGGGCCATTTAAAGGCAGTTCCAGCCCGATGAATACACCTTTTTGGAAAACGCATCTGTGGATGGCAGTGCACAGTATTACCAACCTACACTATGATTGTATTTTCTGCAGATGACAAGATAGTGCAATGCTATGTTTTGCAATGTGTTTGGGTCATGTGTCTGACTGTGGCCAAAGTCAGCTGTAACAGCTCATTCTTGTTTGTTAATCATTATCTATTACCTTCCACACAGAGCAAGACAAGCCAATGAGTTTGGAGAGGTCTTGACATAAATCATATTGCAGTTCACACAAAATGATTTGACTTGTGGCAATTTAAAAGGATGTAACATCATTCATAGCCCCGACAATTGTATCAGTGAACGCAAAGTGGCATTTTCCCATGTGATGGAATTGTATAACAGTAATAGGCTTATTTTCTTTTGTTCTAAGTGTTAACTGAGTATTGATACAATGCAGCTTATGTCGCTGTTTGCTGTGTAATATTTCCTGCAAGTAACTTCCTGTAAAACCACAACATATTACTGCTAGTTTGGGTATTGAACACAAATTAAATGCAATCATTTGTGAGCTTTGTTGCTGAGTCTTGGTGTATTGTTTTACACCAAGACTCAGGCTCCAGTCTTGACGCTAAGCTTAGCTAAGCTAACTGCTTTCTGGCAAGAGTATGATATTGATTTGATCATAAACCCATGAGAATATAACAAAAATGTTTTTAACCATTCCTTCAACATTGTCGAAGTTGCATCATTTTGATATTACTTTACATATGTTTCCATTTAAAATGCACAAAATGACTCGTTTTTCTTTTATATTTGACTTGAGTACAGATCAGAAGAAAGGGATGTTGACTTTCCTGGAGCTAAAGTAAAGCAGTTAAAAAAAAGATTTAAAAAAAAGATTGTCCTTTTTTCCCCTTATGTTTGAATGTATCTCCCTACTTTTCCTTCTTATTTGTTAGATATCATTATGTCTCTTTTACAGACGATCTTTTGTGGTGATAAGAATACAAAAAAACTAATCTGGTGTAGTAGCAAAAAAGTAATTATAAAGTAATATGTCAAGAAGCTAGAGGTAGGATAACTAAAGTTACATGTCAGCCCGTGTTGGCAGCGTTTTCTTCACCTCCACCCAGAGAAGTTAGATAGCTCTGGGGTCAGATGTCATGCTTCACTCTCCCAGTCCTCCAGAGGTCCGACTCTCTGCTCAAACAGACACAAAGAAACAGAAGCCCACATCCCCCGCACTCCGTACACATTATTTATGAATGGGAGGGCTGCCTTTCCCTGTCCCTTTGTAGTTTTGGAATGTGCAAGATAGATCGATTTAAGACGGATACACAGATGGCTCTTAAGGCACAATGCAGTACACAACCACTCAGAGGAAAAGTGAGCTCCTGGGCAATTAGTGTCATAATGGCTGCTCCTGTGCTTGGTGGGATGGATAAACAGTGGCTGTGGCGGCAAATGGTTAGGTGGGTAGCATGGATAATGATCAGTGCTGCAGCAGAGTACACACCTAATGATCTTAACCAGCTGACGGACAGAATACAAAGGGCTTCCTCTTGATCAGATAGGAAGCAGGGAGGATCATGTGTTTAAGCGCCGCAAAATAATAATTGATGGCAATCTTTTCAGAGAAACAATTATTTAAAACGTTTTTGAGTCAATGAAATTGCAGAAAAATAATAAAAAATGTCCACCATACATTCCCAGAGTCCAAAATGATTGGGATTGTCTGACAAATCGTCCAATACCCAAAGGATTTAAAAACATTTAAAAAGAAAGAACATTTCAGAAGAACAAGCAAATGTGATTGATTGTATTATCCAACATGAAATTACTTTAACAAGTGATCCAAAATAAATGCTGTCAATTGATATTTATATTCATACTGATGGACAGCGTATCCAATAATCAGTTAATAAGTTCACTTAACTGTTAAAAGAGGAATGAACTTGGCAGGTACTTGAAAGGAAAGGGAAATACTTCTATGAATCAGATTGCTTAAATTACATTTAGTCAACCACCACTTCTACCAATATGAGATTATATACATATCTGTAAATGTATAAGTTGTTAGCTGACACAAACACCCTCACGTTTGAATTCCCTACCAGCTGGAGTGACAAACGTGTGACAACAAGGTCAGGTGCGGTCGTAAACAAGAGTGAGACAATGGTCTAGCTCATAGACCTCTGGGAAAAGCCGCACTCTGTGTTTGTTGTCATTGTCTTAAACCTAGTTAATACTCTGTTTACGCTCCACGAATACTCGTATGTGTGTGTGCACGCGCATGTGTGGGAGTGTGACGTACCATTCTCCTCACATTGCCTAAGCCACAAGTTATTGAGAAAACAAATGTCAGTTGAAGGGCGTTGTCTGTTTGGTGTCTGCACAGAGTTAGGCTTTCCTCCCACTACTTGGAGCACATCTAATCTGATTATGAGCACCAGTGAAGAAAAGCATTGAGGGAGAGAGTTTATTGGATAACATGGGACTAAAGATGACAATAGAGAGATGAGAGGGAGAGAAATGGAGAGAAATATCAATGTAGTGCATTTGTGGGAGAGAGTCGTGAAAGAGGGACCCTTCCCATCGGGGGTGAAGCTCTGGATCGCTGCCCGGTATGCCACTGCACTGTCATCTGTGAGCTGCCTTTGTGCACGTATGGAGGCCAGCATATCCCATGATCCTCAGCCATTATCCCGACCCAACTCCTAGCATGTGGCCCCTGCTCTCTCCTGACTATCCCTACTCTCCCTGACCTCCCTCCTCCTGCGCCTTTCCCTGCTCTATCCTTCCTCTCTGCTGTACCCCTCCTACGCCTCCTCACTGCACTACTCCTTCCCTATCTCTCTTTCTCCAAGCCAAATCACAGCTAGAGTCTGGGCCTCAGCCACCTCCATGAAAACAGATGACAGTGTTTTTTTTTCTCCCTCCCCACTGCCGCAGACCCCCCTCCAGGAGAAGTCTGTCTGCCGAGGAGGAGAGGGGGAAATGAGAAGGATTGATTCATTTAAAACGCATGCTCTCCTCTTTTTTCACCGCCGAGCCCCCCTTCAGGAGGACATGCCTGCTCAATGAGAGGTCGTGAGGAAGATCATGGGAGCTCATTCATCAAGCTATGTTTGCCATTATAAATAATGTGTGTAATGTGCAAACAAGGACCAGCACTAAGGTTGTGGCCTTTGACCGAGACTGCTATTATATGTTCTGTGAAGAGTTTCTGATGGTGGCGACGAGATCGATACGTCAAAGCCAAGCCAAACAGAGAGATGGATTGTTTTGTTGTTGCTACAATGAAAATGCAGCTCCATATTCTGTATTAATTAAAAAGCACATTGATGGTTTCAAATGAAAAGAGACAGCCCAGTAAAGATGTTCCTCCCAGAGCCACATAGATGTGCGCCATTTCTTGTAAAAGATTATGATAATCCCATTCATACTATTGTATTTTAGTCACTGTTGCCACAAGTGACATTCACAACGCTCTGGATATGGAGTCTGATAACAGATCATAGATAGAGAAGAGTAACACCACGATGCCTTGTGACCACGTGCATTAGCACTTCTAGACCACATGTCATTCTCCAGTCAGATGCTAGGCTGGGATGAACAAGCAGTCCTTTTATCCCTGACTCGGTTATTCAATAACTTCTAGCTCTTCATGCATTGAAGGCTGTTCAGCTTGCTAACACCACTTAGCTGTGGCAGCTTCTTTTACCGGCATCACAGGGGAGGTGGGACTGACTGGCT